GTGGAAATAATTTCAGCATGCGATTCAAATTGCGCGAGAGCAAGTCTTTGCGACAAATCTCCATCATATCTGGATAGTGGTTGATTTGTTGGAAACGCTTCATGCTCTTGTACAATTCTACTCCGGGCAATGAGTCTGTCCACAAAATATTCCAAAGTTTGCCTTCTTTAACTAATTTAAAACCCAATGCCTTGGATACCCGACCAATTATGCTGAAGCGCGAATTAGATACGCAGATGCTGCCTTTGATTTTACTGAAATTAAAAGAAAATAAGTAGCAGTAGAATTATCGAAAACGGTTCACGTGGTGGCCCAAAGTCATCCGGTAATATATGTACATAAAAAAATATTTTGATGAATGGATAACCTTCCTACTTTTTTTGAAGTCAAAACTAAGGCAAACTCTTACACGGAGGACCTGGAAATTCAACAACATTAAACAAACTTTAAATTAAATGGAAAATGCAGTCCCGGAGAAGACCGAGGAGTGCGAATTAAGTGCGAATTAAGTTTTCGATTTGTGGTGGAAGAGAGACTTCGTCGCTGAATATTGTAGTTCACACCAGTGGACGAGCGTCTCACCATCAAGACGTCAAGCGAGACGTGCATGTAGCAGTAGGTTCCAGCGTCAGGGGAAGCAGCAAGTTAGATTGCTGGCAACTTATCGAAAAACTAGAAATAAAATCGAGCATATTATGGTAGACGAAAGAGACTTTTCCAGTGTTTTAGTCATACATATATACACACATACGCACGATTCGAGGACCAAATATTAACTCGTAAGTCCTGTGATGAAAGAAGTGAGCGATTAGCAACACAAACTTTTTTAGCCAAGTAGCCATCTGGTCCCTATCTAACAGAATGACTTGTTAAAGACAGTTTTGACGGCTTAAGATGTGGGCAGATAACAAAATACGGTAACACTGTGCTCGGTTCTAGGCGACTGTGGGATCCAAGGCAATGAAGTCGCCGACGAGTTGGACCGGAACCATTGTGTGGTCTCAGTTGGTCCTCTTCGATAGCCATAATTACCGAGTGGGTTCACTCTGCAAGCAGTGGGGGAGGCATAGACAAGCTCGGCCTTTCGCATACCTTTTCAAAAGAAAGTATATTGTTCTATTGAATACTAATGCTCTCTGGGTAACAAACTGATCACAATCGACTACGATTTCACATGCACTTAGTAGTCATAATGCTAGTTCTCTCTTGAAGATGAAGAGACTACAGGATACATTCTCTCTGACTGTCTGGCCTTAGCCATACAAAGACTAACTATTTAAAGGTCCAAAATAATACGTCTAACAAAGCCCTGTTAAAATCTATTAGGAAGTCGAGGGTATATTGGACAAAGTGGGTTAGGATCAAAAGATCTTTTAGGTCGTAGTGTCTCATTTTCTACTACACCCAAACACTTAAACTAAAGTAACTAACACAAGGGAGGTTGAACGTCGAAAAGCTGTCAGCTTCGTCGCCACTCGATATTTGCAAGCAGGGGTTAATACCGTAAGGTTTGTAAGTCGTTATAAGGGGAACTGATAATGGAAGTGGGGTATATTTTCCATAACAAAAAGGCAGAGGCCGAAATGCATGAGAGCGAGGAACTTGAGAAGTTAGTCGACAAAACAAAACTCCAGAAGTTTTCAGGACTAAGGCTAATACCTAGTAAGAACAAACACAGCGACTTAGTGGCCTATGTCCAGAGCTGGACCCTACTGAATAGCATTCAGACCAGTGGAGAAGATAAACCTGAGCCCCAGATAGGACCATGCAGTCGATGTACCAACGTCCGATTGTGACCAGTTACGATTGCAATTTCTCGGCTCAAAATCATTAAAGCTGCTGAAGCTAACGGCCTGCCAGCTGACCTAATCAAGTCCGGCGATCGGAGAAATACATGCCTGCCATGTGATCTGGCCAAAACAAAAGAAGTGAAGAATACTTCAGCCACCTCAAGGGTTTATCAAGCGTATCGCGTCAAAAGTTCTTTCGACACAGCTCCCACAGGTGGACAATGAAAGAAAGGGTGAAAAAATGGGAGGAACTCCGGAATTAACCATGCGCCAAACCTGTAAAAGACCCGCGGGAGGAGGAGGATTCAGCAACGCGTATAATCTGCGATGTCCGAATGAGGATCCCCGTAAAACTAATACAGCAACCCTATTAAGCAGGCATTTCAGGGTACTATTTTACATATATATATGGAAAATTTGAAAGTTAGGGGGGGCTCGAGCACCCCTCTGCCCCTACCTGGCTACGCCCATGTCTCCAATGATAACCTCATGCTAAAGTTGCCGATCGCTTTCGTACCTAAGAACCGTAAGCAAGACCAGTAGGTCATATGTCGAAGTGAAACTAGAATGACTTAGATAAAGGGCCGTAATCCTTTCGAGAACTTTCTCTTTAAAGCTACACAATTTTTTTTTTTATTGAATCAAAGTTAAAGGGTAAAAATGCCAACTTACGGTATAATTGGCATATCGTCTCGTGCGCCCAGTGATGATTTCGGTGTATTGCCGCATTTCAAACGGAAGCACACATTATTCAATTGTATAAGGCCATCGGAAATGGCTTCGCTTTCCGCAGTAAGTTCATGTGTATTATGATATTCCTTCCCTTCCTCATTCTCCTCCGCGTCGTTGTTACTCTTACGCACACAATGACCATTACGCTCCTTCAATGCATTCTCCAAGACGACATCGATACGCGTGCCACGATTTTTTTCCATTCGCAATTTCTCTTTGGAGAGACGACGCAACTCCTGTATGCGCTTGAAGAATTTGGAATTTTTCAAATTCATTATGTCAGATCGTTACAGCTAGAATTTCTATGTGGATGGGTGGTCGAGTTCTGATGAAATAATTGGCTTTTAATGCGACTTTCGATGATGTTGCTGGTCGGCGAAGGCAGCTCGGCCAGCCGCGGCGGTTGTTGAAGGTGAAATGCGGGGGTCCGTTTTTTTTTTTGTGAAAATTTTTAATACACAGCTAGTCAAAAATTGCTGCGTGAAGTTTTGTATTACAAAATATTATTTAAAAATGTTACTAATATAGATGTCCGGCAAATATTAAAGCATTTCTTGGTTACAAATTTTAAATTTGTTTTTTGTTGAAAATTTTGACGAACAAAAGAAAATATTTTTGCGCTGTGCCTTTGCTAATGAAATAAACTGAATACTTTTTTTTATCTTTTGATGGAATATTTTCGTTAAAAATTCTACAGTATTGAACTTATAGATTACACACAAAAGAAAACCTTTATTGCAACCGATTCCATGAATTGATGAAATAAAAAAGTCGAAAAATGTACTAAATTTTTGATTAGACAAAATAATACAATTTCAGTAAGTTCTCTTTTTGTGATGAAAAAAATTAAGCGTTTGCGTTCAAGCACAATTTGTTGCACTATCCAGTGGGGAAAATGGGAATGCATTACCTTCCCAGGAGGCAAATGGGGAATTATAAAATTTATTATATATTAAAAATTCCGCTACAATACATCGGAAAACTATTAAAATTATTTGAGCTGGAATCTTTTGAAAACAACTCCAAAAATCGTTTTTTTTTTATAAATAAATGGGGTTTTCGAAACATTTTTCCAAAAAAAAATCACCTCAGGTGATAGAAAAGTTTAAGCTTAAAAGGGCTGCACTTATAAAAATATTTAAGAATTTAAGCAACGGAATCAAAATAATGAGATTTTCAGAGGTATTTTCAAATCGGAATAGCTCACGTAAATTTTAATATTTTTCCGAAATATTTTGTCAGAAGTCTTAAAATGTAATATAGCTAATCAGAAGACAAATAGAATAGGTCTGACCTAATTAAAAATTAAGGATATTCCCAAAAAAAACTGCGACGCTAGCTTCGGAGCATCTATTCAGAACTCTTCTTGATAAAGTATTGGGGAGAATTAGGGGAAGGTGAGCTTCTAAGGAACTCTCACTTTGGCCGAAATACCACACAGTCGTAATAACGTTTCGGCAATGAAAGCAGGTGAGCGCTTATGGGCAAGAACTCTAACAGAAAAAATGGTAGAAGTAGAACAGTTTCAAGACCCTCCGGTCTCTAGGCATCTAGAATGCTCTTGAAACCAAGAGGTCTTGATTGGTTAAACAGAGGGCGCATTTGGCGAAAAATCAGCCTAACCATTGCCACGTTGGGAAGGCTATTGAACAATAAGGACCTCTCTCGACTGAAACAAATTATGGTCTATACATCTTTCGTCATTCCCCATGTCTAAAGCAGATGGGAGTGTTTTAAGAGCTTTCCACAAAACCTTTAGTCAGTCTAGCAATTGATTTTTTATGCGAGTGAAGGAGAGATACAATGAGAGCAGATGGCTTGAATGCCATTCACGCAGTGCTTGTGCAGCTGTCTAATATGTACATTAGATTGCATCACTCCCCATACAAAAAAAATAAAAAATAAAAAATCGGTACTGTTTTTCCGCAACTTTTTTTGGTGATGCAGTCTAATGTACATAAATGTATATGTGTTTCAGCTAATATGGGCTTGTTCGAGATGCAATCACACCCGCAGTGTTAAAGTATCACGTTCGGTGGGAATTTCTAGCAACGCATAATCAGTTGGGCAGTTGCGACAGTGTTGCAAATTTTCATTAGTGCGGCAGTAATGCAGCTTTTATTACGTGCCTCGAACAGGCCCGATGTCTCTCTCCCCTATAATCAATCAATAAAAATAGTGGCTTAAAAAAACTCAAATAATAAAAAAGGAAAACCTAACAAAAACAACTGCTTCATTTAAATTTTATGGTATTAAAATATAGATTAACTGAGATGAAAAACTTGTCAAACTAGTTTTAACCCCACACAAGTTAAAATAATTGCACAGTCCTCGCTTCACAATATAATTGCTATATTTTTATAGCTTTTCGTTAAATTCATAAGTCAGTTGTCAAATTAGTTTCTATTGCAAAAAATATGCTCTAATCTCGCCCAAAAAAAAAATCAGTATTACATAGTACGAATTTACAACTTAAGCTTAAATTTTGAACAAACTGGTTTCTTTTATTAAAACTTTAAAGTGCATACATATGTATGTAAATCAACAATCCGATACGAATACTAACGTCTAATATATGTATGTAATATTTTTATAAACACAAAAGTGCGTTTGCCTTTTTATGATTTGAGCTTAAAGCAATAAACATTTATTGCGTATATACATATGTATGCATGCATTACGTTTAGTCGTTACAGTTAGTTATGTTTGTAGTAAATGCAACTGAAATATTGTAGTTCTTCACTTCTTCAAATAAGTACATTTGATGTCCATAAACACTTTTCACCATCCGGCCTATCATATGTACATATATACACAACTGCCACTAGCTAATTTATAATAAAATATTTTATTTTTAAATACAAAAATTGAGATTTCTTCATAATAAGGCACAGCGGAATGTATGTATTTAATTTTTTAATTACTCTTTTGTACTTAATCGGGATATATCTTGCAAAAGCGTATTGTATCATAAACGTACTCCATCTCCGGACGATCGTCGGCTTCAAATGCTACGCATTGCGTTCCTAGTAAAATTATGTTTTTACACATATCCCGTTCCCCATTTTGTATTGGTTGGCGTGCATCGATCAGATTGCTCAGCTCATCTTTGCGTGTACCTTTGATATATTCAGCCAACAACTCTGGTTTGCGATTAAGGTCTAACGCACGTAGACCGGTAAATGTCTCCAGCAACATAACGCCAAAACTGTATGTATCCACTTTTGTACTTAGCTTTTTGCCACGCAAAAACTCTTGCGGTAAATATGGTTTAGTCCCATAAATTTGTGACACTGTAACCGAACGACTTAAGGCAGCCGGCCCCTCGCGGGCCAAGCCGAAATCTCCTATACGCGGTGTCAAACATACATCGAGTAGTACATTTGCTGGTTTGATGTCACCGTGTATAAGTGGTTTGACATCACAAACGTGCAAAAAGTTGATACCTCTTGAAATAAATAATGCAAACTTATTTAGTATTATTAAAAAAAAAACTGTTTCTCTCAACTCACCGCGCTGCACCTAGACAAATTTCGACGCGCTGCTCCCAGGTCAAAGGCGTTTCTTTTTTTGAATACAAACGTTGCTCCAATGTACCACCTTTCATGAGCTGATAAACCAAGCAAGGCTTTTCGCCATTCAATGAATAGCCAAAAAGGGGCAGTACATTATCGTGACGATACCGGCTTAAATGTTTCAGCTCGTTGAGACTTTGTTGTAGCTGCACTTTGCTGCTGTCGCGTCCATTTACTCCATTGTATATCAATTGTTTGACAGCAACCTCAGTGCACTTCCAGGTGCCCTTGTAAACAGTACCAAAGCCGCCTCGTCCAAGCTTTAGGCGCTCATTCCAGTTTTCGGTGGCTTCTGTTAATTCTTCATAGCTGATTTCGATCATGTAGCGAGCGAATTCGCGCACGTCTTGTTCGATGCGCTGCGTGGATGTAGGTCCCCCCGTCTGCTCGTATGATGAATACGAGGTGTTATTGTTGGAATTGCTAACACCTGACGAAGAGGAATCTATGGGCCCATTGAGTTGTTTAATGTCCGAGTTGGCGGCCATAAGCATAGTTAAGCGCGGTTGACTGCGGGGAATGAGTAGCTGATATTTGCGTTCTACGAAATCCTTTAGCATACGCATTGCGTGATGTTGTTCTTTCCTGCAAAATAAATATGTATTTATTTAAGTATGTAAAAACATAAACGCATTATTTCATAGTTTAAATACATATAATACAAAAACAGGTTCGACTTACTTCCACAACAACATGAAGAGTTCAGTAACTGTGTGCTTGCACTCAATGCCCCACTTTTGCATTAATTGCCATGATGGTGATTTACCCAGCTCCTGTTGTTGGTTTATGAACTGTAATAAATAAATGTAGTGAAAATAAATTTGTAGACAGTCAGGCTTGAAACCACTTTTTGGCGGCGTTATCGTCGGCATACGTAAATGGGCTTGCCGACATTCTAACTTGCTCACCTTCACATCTGCCGGCCGTAGTTGCATAGCTTCGGCTAATTGCATCCAAATTTGCATTTCATCCAAATGTTCACAAAGCAAACGCAACTGCTGCAGTGGTAATTCGTGTATATACCGGTCTTTGACATAACCGCTGCTGTTGCTGCTACCACCAGCTCCAACGCCTATGCCGCTGCCACCGCCGCCTTTTCCATTTGTAATACTGTTGTTGGGCGATAATGCACTGCGAGAACGTGACACGGACATCACTATATAAAATGTTTCAAAATCTTCTAAAGCTGTTTAATTTGATGGCTTTCTTTTTAATGATGCCTGACTCATCCAAGTATGAGATGTGCTGATGATGCGTTGATTTACATTTAGCTGCAGCCAGCCACAAAGTTTAAACCACAATTAGTTAATTTATTAAGGACGATCAATGGATTATTGTTTATAAACAAATTAAAATGTGTTTATTTTGCTATAACACAGGCAGGTTTATTGTATAATATTTAGCAGGACAAATTTGAGACTTCGGCTACGACGCTGTTTACACATCCGTCCTCATGCGTAGTTTGCTCAATAAATGTTCAATTGAAAATATAATTTCAACACTAGTTGCACCACTTCTCGGAAACCACTGCCTTAAAAAGATAAATAAAGAAAAAAACCCAACTCAACGAGCAATACGCAAAACAAAACAAATCGTGTGCACAACAGCTGACGTAAAGCTTTTAAGCCAATTGGAAAATTTAGGTATGAGAAAGCACTCTAAATTGAGTTAGAGTTGCCAAATCACGGCATTGAAAGTTTGCCTACGAAAGTTGTGGCAAAATTCAAAGAGAGTCCCATAAAATAATTTAAGTATAAAGCTAAAGCTAATTTAACTATAAAGAAACAGGGAAACAAAGGAAATTAAAGTCAATGCTCACGAAACGTTTGTTTTGTGCTCGGCTGGAATTGAAACATATCGTGTTTTGTTAGTGCTCGGGAACAGTATGAGAAAAGGAACACAAACTTTTCGTACTTGTTGCGACAATGTTCGGTTTGTTTTCGTACTCTGAAGCTCTGTGTACGTTTTTAGCGGATGATTTCAAGAAAACAAACTTTGGAGTTGTGTCACTTTTGAAAATCGTGTGCAATATATAATTTGGATTGACCGAAGTGTACATCGTGGGCTTACATTCAACAACATATATTCGCAATTTGTATAAAGGCTAGTTTCTGACATTTGAAAAGTATGTTAAAGGTTATTATTAACATCAGCAGTGACAGTTAAGTCAGAGTTTGACTTTTATATTAACAAATAATTTTTGGGAACTTTGCAGTGTATTGGGTAAACCCTTGATATGAATCTACAAGTTTTGTTTGGTCAAAATCCTTCATATTTTCACTCCAACAAAAGAAAACACCATAAACTCTCATGAACGAAAGACACAAGATGACGTAAGAACAAGAGAGTGAAAAAAGTCGATTTTTTTTAGCGGGTTCTACGCCATCTTGTTTCACTGGAAAACGAGCGAAAAGTAAACAAAGCAAAGAAAACAACGAAAACCAAAATTAGCCAAAATTATTGTCAGCCACTTTAAGCGCACAATTTAGGTAAAATGATGCAATAAAATGCTTGAAAATGTGTTGTCATGTTGAATTAACTCTTCTTTACTTAAATAAAAGTGTAAAATAGTGGTGCTTGTGATGTAAACAAACGCTCAGCTGACGAACCCGCTTTCGCAAACTTTTTTCTCAAAACCAGTTACAAATACAACGTCGCGTTCTTACGTGATCTTGTATTTTTGGTTCATGATAAACTCTGCAATTTACAATATACAAGGTCATTCTTATCAGAAAATAAATTGTTTTGGTTTGACATCTATCTAATCAGCCAATACACACACCACTTAAAAGCTTTTTGTTAAAAGCTCAAAAACATATGTGTTTGACACTAGCAGCTTAATAAAAAATAAATAAAAGAAAAACAATTCGTATATTTTTCGATTCACAACAGTCTTGTCTCGTGCTCGCCAGTTTTGGGTTTTGGCTGAGTAAAAGTCGTGCGAATGTCTTATATTAACTGTGAGGAGCATTGTTTACGTCTACAGACAATTGCCGTATCTAATCAAGCACTCAAGTGAATCACATAATCTAGCATATATAAAAGGGAGCTCCTAGAATAACACATCATTCTGACCCAAGGCTTTAATGTGTATACTCGGTTTAACAGCGTATCCGGCAAAGAAAGTATTTGACATTGCTTTCCAAAGATTTTCACTCTCTAGTGATAAGTTATTAGTTTCTCGAATTTTCCGTTGCCTAACAAGTGGAGGTGCCTTAAGTGCCAGCCTTCGCAGTTCCAGTAGCAATAGTGCCTTGAGCAATTCATGTCAAACAACAGTGATACGCAATAGTAGCACATTTAAACGCAGCGTCAACAAAATGCTGAACCATTTGCCTTATTTTGCCAGCGGTGAAATTGTACGCGGTTTCGGACGCGGCTCCAGTGAACTAGGCATACCAACAGGTACTTACACAATGTATTATAATGATTACTAAGCATTTACCTACTGGCAATATGTAAGCACAGTACTTTAAGCTTGGCATTGCCAATTAATTCACTTTTTAACTTACATTTTCGCATTGATTGATTAGATGTTAAATAAGTACATTTTTTCATTAATCTCTTTTATGTAACGTCCAAAGCGAATTTTTCATTGGAGGTGGTCAAATCGCTACCAGCCGCATTTTCGTTAGGCATCTACTATGGATGGGCGAATGTGGATAATGGTGAAGTTTATAAAATGGTAATGAGCATAGGCACAAATCCTTACTATGACAATAAGGAGAAAAGTATGGTGAGTATAAAAATCAGAACAATCAATTAAAAAATACTTCCAAAGTATTGAAGTGCAATGCACTGAAGTGTGTCTTAATTGAAGCGATTTTAATTGAATGTGAGGATGTTTGATTTTGATTGTATTGCAAGTTCCATATATTCATTCATGTACGTGCATAGTATTTTTATACATACATATACCGCTAACATATTAATTTTATATTTCTTTTATTTAACATGTCAACGTATGAATAGTCAAGTTGCGCAAAAAAGAAACAATTGCGGCAGTCATTATTGCCCGCAAAACTCGGCTATATTTCATCATAGTATATGAAATTTACTGATGTATCGCATGTGGGTAAATCGAGTAAATAATTATATATGTATGTACATATTTATATAGATACATGTGTATATAGATACATGTGTGCTGTCTTACACTCGTATGTAGTTTTTTTGTGAGTGGAAGACGATTTCGAGGTCTTAAATTACCTTAAACATAATATCCTATGTCACGGTTGTGGTTAACCTTATAGGTTTCTGATGGTAAATGTTTAAATTTTCATGACAAATATGAAACTTAACATCCGATCTGAGGCCAATTACCTTATATTTGGAATTTAGAACTGCATTACATTGGTTTATTTGTTTGGCCGCAACGTATATATACATGTACATATCCCACATTTAAACTATATCAAAGTTTGATCAACTCATACAGTTAGTATACCAAAAGACAGATGGAAATACAGATATCTTAACATATTCTCCTTATCAGGCTTATTAATTGTATGACGAAATCTCCAAAAAATGGAAATTTTGAATTGCATCTCTACATTATTAAAGATGCGATATCTTTTACATACATACATATGTATGTATGTGTATACATATGTATGTGATTTAAAATTAAGACAATGTGCTTCGTTATTGACGATGAATTCTTTCATTATACTCTGATTTAAGTTAAACACTGGCATGTAAACGTAAAATTGTTAAGTATTTTACTCACAGAATTTCCAACAGAAACAACAATTACAATCAATCCTTTGATATAACACCTCTGTGTAGACACAATTATCAGCTTTCAACGTTTCGGACTAATCTTTAAACTTAGCGTGAATCCCATTTTAACAAACTACGTGTATTTGTATTATAAACAGAAAACATATGTTCAAATTTGCATACGTATATACTTATGTACATTTCCTACGATTGTACGTACTACATGTGAATGTATATGTCTAATTGTTATACAATTTTCGTGATCGCTTTCACTTCGCACTACCTTATCGTTAAAGGCTAATTTAATGATATCATGGGTAACATTTATAAATTTTATCGCCCCCAAGCGATCAATTGACGTACTAATAATAACTATGTAGACGATTTTTTTTTTTTCAAAAAAGATAATACATACCTCTCAAGATGAATGGACTTAATCAGTGAAGTTAATGTCAAACACATCTCATGTGCAGGATTTGCCACTTTAATGCATTGAAGTAGTTTGTAATATTTTTGATAACTGTTTTTAATTTAACAAAATTTAAACCTTTTAAACCAGGAAACCCATATTATGCATAAATTCGATGGAGATTTGTATGGCCGCCTACTTAAAGTTTGTATCGTCGGCTATCTGCGCCCAGAATGTAATTTCGAATCGCTGGAGGCTCTAATAAATGCTATACAAAAAGATATCAAAGACTGTAACAACTTGCTGGACAAGGATGAGGAAAGTCGTCAATTGCGGCATTCGAAATTTTTCAAAGCGAATTGTAATGACAGTCCGACAAATTCCACGACAACGTATTTGAATGGTAACGTAAAGAATGGCTCCTCCTAATTCGCTTTAACATCTAATTAATAATGTCATTACTACCATAATGTACTTTAAATATGATGTAAATGTAGTATTTAAACTTTTTTTTTTTTAATTTACCTCAGTCTGCATGTTGTAAATTGTTTAATATAGGATGTAGTGCAATTCTATTACGTTAAATTTTTAGTTTCGTTTTAAAATTTATAGCGCTATTTGTTACTTAAAGCCTCGAAAGAATACTTAATAAAAGAGGTAATAGAAATACCAAAAAA